CAGAATAAGTATACCGAATTAATCGTCATTAAAGCAAGCAACCATAATCAAAGCCTCCACTAAATATCATGACAATGATTTGTCCGTTGATGCTTTTTGAAAAGCTATATTATTTTTGATATACCACGCTAAAAGTGTTCGCACCATCCCAAATAAGTGATATCCCAGGCGTCTAGATCTGAGGTGGTGCAGACGGCTCGTTTAGTCACATCAAGATGAAATACTATGTACGCCGGATTGGCGAAAGAAATGCGAGTCAATAGACTTTTTTAAAGACCAAAAAAAAAAAAAGTCTCTTAAAAACTTTGCCCGACAAACTTCAAAAAATCAAACAAAAATCCCGATGGATGGAAGGTGTTCTATCAAGACTAATTTACCGTGGACAAGATAACATAAGCTCGGGCGACAGGAACTCAAGGAGCTCTATGCTCAGCAATGAAAGAAATAAATAATAATAGGCGAAAACTCTGCTCGATATTTTCTGTTACGCATCGGTTTGAGCCCCATTCATGGCTCATTGCCCACCAGCGGTATCTTCTAGAACTCAGACAGAATAATAGTTCATATATTACACCGTTGCTACGGCAACGTCACACAACATTCATGCTGGTAGCATCTCTCGGCGGTACACAAGCAAATTCCTCCAAACTCCAGAGTTTCCATCGATGAAGCAGTTGTAATCCAGAGAAAACACGGCCATGACAAAGAAGTGTATCTGCCAGATCTGTACTTGTGGGTAAGTCCATTTAGTTGATGCTCACTTCTTCAGCGTTACTTATCGACTCTTACAAGCCGTCTGCTTGAAATCACCTCATATCTCGAACAGATGGAAAAAATATGTATATTTTCACTGTGTTCTTGAAGTTTTTTTCTTGCTAGAGAATAGAATCCCTAATATATAACCTTTAGGAATATTTAGATTTATTGGGGGCTTTAGGTTTTGATTGAAGTAAATAGTTTTGGTAATTTAAGTGATATTAGACGTGATGGTTTCAATAACAAATAACACTGAACTGACTCGAAAGAAAAGCCATTTTACAACGGAAGCCACTCAATTGCTATCCATTATTTTTCATCTAAACATCTGAGAGTTATCTGTGGGGTAGAGAGCTCTCTACAAATTAAAAATAAAAATATTTGATCCACAAATTAGACGAGTTTCAAATATTCTACTTCGTGACCCCGTTGCTAATGGTAACACATTATCAACTTACTGTTAATCTAGGGTATATCGGCTTGGAACACCGCTTTTGACGTCTCAATACCGACCTACAATCTCTAAGGATTTATTCAAGAGACTTTAGTTTCAATACTAAATTTTATGGAGTGATTTTATTGTCGAAAATAAGAAACCTTCTTGAAGCACCTCAGTCATACACAATGTCGTTGTGCCGTGAGTTGCTAACCATCGCTTCCGGACAATTTGACTTTTATTGACGCCTGATTTAGGTTATCTTGATGGTTCTAACGTTCTAACCGAATACAACAAAATGGAACTCTAGTTGTTTTTTCTGAATTCGAAAGTCAAAGATATATTTGAAATCTTTTGGAGTTCCCGATTTTTTTTTGGTGACTCACAGTCGCATGGAATAATTACGTATTTCATTTTGAATGAACATTTCGAAGGAAATCTATTATGAGTTGTTTATTTTAGATAATTTATTAGCAATACGAGCACCTGCAAAGGTGGGCAGCTTTAATTACAAAATCCGAAGACGTTTTAGTAAACTAAAATAAGACATAAGTAACGAAAAAGGAAAACCAATCTAAGCTCTCCAAATTAGAAAAAA